CACCTACACACCTACACCCAAATCTCCCCAACCTACAATCAAAACCCACCTACACCCTACAACATCTACAACCCACCTACCCCTACCACATCCTCAACCCCACATACACATCTACACATCTACCATCACACTACCACCTACCACCTACCACTCACATCAACACACCTCACACCTACCCTCTACACACCTACAACACCTACACACCTACAAAACCTACACACCTACACATCTACACACTACACACTACACACTACACATCTACAACAACAAAACTAAAACCTAACACCTCACACCTACAATCTACACACTACACATCTACACAAACACCTACACACCTACACATACAACCTCTACAAAACCCACACAACCTACACATCTACACTAACACAAACACACTACACACCTCAACACCTACACATTACACATCTAAAAACACCTACACATCAACAACACCTACACATACAACACCTACACACTACCAACTACACACTACACATACACTACACATCTACACACCTACACATCTACACCCTACACACACACACCTACAAACACCCTACACATCTACACATCTACACACCTACACATCTACACACATACACACCTACACATCTACACATCTACACACCTACACATCTACACATCTACACTTAAACACATCTACATCTAAGAAATTAACAGCTTACAGACAATAGCTCAGTTGGTAGAACATGGCGTTTGCAACGCCAGCGTTGTGGGTTCGATTCCCACGGAGGGCCAGTATGAAAAAATTGTATGCACTCACTAACTGTAAGTCGCTCTGGATAAGAGCGTCTGCTAAATGATTTATTATATATTATATATTATATTATATTATTATTATATTATATTATATTATATTATATTATTATATTATAAATGACTAAAATGTAAGATCACAGTTACGAAAACTTAGGACACTAAAGAGGCCTTTCTATTGACTCTGAAAAATACAAAAATAAAGATGCCCAGGGTCCCTGCTCATCTGCGTGAACGTGCCTGAGGCCTGCAGATGTGGCGAGGGCAATAAATTGCAATGTCCGTACTGTGAGAAGCCTTAGACAGCGCTACAGGGAGACAGGACGGACAGCTGATCGTCCTCGCAGTGGCAGACCACGTGTAACAACACCTGCACAGGATCGGTACATCTGAACATCACACCTGCAGGAAAGTTACAGAATGGCAACAACAACTGCCAGAGTTACATCAAATCTTATTTGTCACATGCACGTGTTTAGCAGATGTTATAGCGGGTGTAGCGAAATGCTTGTGCTTCTAGCTCCGACAGTGCAGTAATATCTAACAGTTAATATCTAACAATTTGACAACATATACCCAATACACACAAATCTAGTAAGGAATGGAATTTAAGAATATATACATATATGGACAAGCAATGACAGAGCGGCATGGACTAAGATACAGTAGAATATTATAGAATAGAATGCAGTATATACATATGAGATGAGTAGTGCAAGATATGGAAACATTATTAAAGTGACTAGTGTTCCATTTCTTAAAGTGACCAGTGATTTCATTAGGCAGCAGCAGCCTCTAATGTGCTAGTGATGGCTATTTAACAGTCTAATGGCCTTGAGATAGAAGCTGTTTTTCATTCTCTCTGTCCCAGCTTTGATGCACCTGTACTGACCTCGCCTTCTGGATGATAGCGGGGTGAACAGGCAGTGGCTTGGGTGGTTGCTGTCATTGATGATCTTTTTGGCCTTCCTGTGACATCGGGTGCTGTAGGTGTCCTGGAGGGCGGGTAGTTTGCCCCAGGTAATGCGTTCGGCAGACCGCACCACCCTCTGGAGAGCCCTGCGGTTGTGGGCGGTGCAGTTGCTGTACCAGGTGGTGATACAGCCCGACAGGATGCTCCAGGAACGCACAATTCCTCCATCAGTGGTCAGACTGTCCGAAATAGGCTGACAGAGGCTGGACTAAGGGCTTGTAGGCCTGTTGTAAGGCAGGTCCTCACCAGACATCACCGGCAACAACGTCGCCTATGGGCACAAACCCACCGTCGCTGGACCAGACAGGACCGGCAAAAAGTGCTCTTCACTGACGAGTCTCGGTTTTGTCTCACCAGGGGTGATGGTCGGATTCGCGTCTATCGTCAAAGGAATGAGCGTTACACCAAGACCTGTACTCTGGAGCGGGATCGATTTGGAGGTGGAGGGTCCGTCATGGTCTGGGGCGATGTGTCACAGTATCATCGGACTGAGCTTGTTGTCATTGCAGGCAATCTCAACGCTGTGCGTTACAGGGAAGACATCCTCCTCCCTCATGTGGTACCCTTCCTGCAGGCTCATCCTGACATGACCCTCCAGCATGACAATGCCACCAGCCATACTGCTCGTTCTGTTCGTGATTTCCTGCAAGACAGGAATGTCAGTGTTCTGCCAGCGAAGAGCTCAGATCTCAATCCCATTGAGCACATCTGGGACTTGTTGGCTGTGAGGGCTAGGGTAATTCCCCTCAGATATGTCCTGGAACTTGCAGGAGCCTTGGTGGAAGAGTGGGGTAACATCTCACAGCAAAAACTGGAAAATCTGGTGCCGTCCATGAGGAGGAGATGCGCTGCAGTACCTAATGCAACTGGTGGCCACACCAGATACTGATTGTTACTTTTGATTTTGACCCCCCCTTTGTTCAGGGACAAATTATTCAATTTATGTTAGTCACATGTCTGTGTAGATGTGTCTATGTTTAGATGTGTGTATATGTGTGTATGTGTAGATGTGTGGATATGTAGATGATTAGATGTGTTTATGTGTGTGTGTGTGTGTGTGTGTGTGTGTGTGTGTGTGTGTAGATGTGTTAGTTTAAATGTGTGTATGTGTAGATATGTGTATGTGTAGATGTGTGTATGTGTAGATCTGTGTAGGTGTGCTTGTGTTGCAGATGATTGATTTGACATTTCTCCACATTACTCTTTGTTTGTGTATTCCATTTTTATGATAACGGTGTAAAGATGTCCCCAGAACAGACTCTGAAGCCACCAGTGGAAATGGATAAAGTGACTTTATAAGATGTCATTTTGTCACAATAGACAGTAAATAAAAGCGATGGTAAGTCCCTGTTAAATCACAGCTTGTTGAGGATTAAGATGTTTTGTAAATCACCTGGGGGGTTGTATTCCATAACAGCAGTCTTCTCAGAGAGAGAAAGAAGAGAGAGAGAGAGAAAGAAGAGAGAGAGAGAGAGAAATAAGAGAGAGAGAGAGAGAGAGAGAGAGAGAGAGAGAGAGAGAGAGAAATGCATTCCTCAGCTCTCAGCAGACCAGTTAGACCAATATTATGAAATAGAAACAACAGAATGTATACATCATCCCAGGAACATAGACAATATTATCAGCGTACCTGAAAGGAAGGAAATGCTAATATTTTATATAATATAAATAAAAGAGAGAATCTGGTCCCTGCTGTACAATAAGGACTAAATAACAGGAGAATCACATATTTTCATGTAGCACAATATACTGCTGTTTCCGACAACATTATTGAGAAAACATGATCAGTTATCTCAATTTCAATCTTAACAATTTCACCTGAATAGAAGGAAATGGAAATATTGATACCACGTAACATTATCTTGTTATTTGCCAAATATTGATACCACTCATAGATGAAGACTTTCTCCAGTAAATGTAGTCAGAGAGGACCGTGCTGCTCATAATAATGCTGCCTTATCAGGTCTATTAGTTAGATTAGAGATCTGGGACTCCAAGCTAAAACATCAGCACACTGTTTAGCAGAAATATAGAGAAGGACAAGTGAGCATTGAAACATACTGTAATAATAGAAACAGTCTAGAGACCAGTGTGGTGCCAATCATCCAGCCAGCTAATCAATAGACACTAGCCTACAGCAGCTTTCTGTTACTGTTATCACTCTACAGCCGGTAGTCATTTAGCTGTGTGTTAAACTGTTCTACTCATCACTCAGGAGTCTTTACATGCACCACTTGGTTCAACATTATGATACTGTTGGAATACACATTCTATTGTTGTAATACATTGAAATTATTAGATTGTTGCAGTAAACAGCAATCGTAATTTATTGAGATTGGCTTTATAGATCATTTCTCCCCTCTCTCTCCTCCGCCTTAAACCGCCAAAGGAAAATTGTGTGACATCACTTATGATTGGATCAAGGTATTGGCAGTCTTCACATTAAAGCCACTGAAATGCATTGTTGTTGGACCGTAGTGCATTCTTCTAGTCTCAGCTCCAATCACATTGGCCTTCTAAAGGCAGGCACAGACTCTGTCTCTCTCTGTCACCAAGCCGATTCACACCCTGACCTCTGACCCCTGACCTGGCCTGTCATGGGGTCGGAGGACACCGGGCGGTCAGACAGGATCAATACTCTCGATGGGGTCACTTCCCCTGTAGTGACAATCACTCTGTACCCCTAACCCTGTAAAATAGACATTATATATTTATTCATCCAAACACTGTGATCCACCTGCCACTGCACATTAACTAGCATCGCTAATAAACTGTCAATCTGAGAAAGGAGAAGAGAGGAGAGGATGGAGAGAAGAAGAGAGGGAAGGAGAGAGAAGAGAGGAGAGAGGGAAGGAGAGAGAGAAGGAGAGAAGGAGAGGAGAGAGAGAGGAGAGATGAGAGGAGACAGAAGGAGAGAGAAGAATCAGGCGATATTACGTAGAGCGAGCATTGAGAGACGGATATAGAAAGGAGAGAATTCGATCTGATTAGCTCTGAATGAAGAGCAGAGTAAGAGAGCCTAGAGGTATATTTTAATGCTCTATAATCACAGACTGAGTAGTATAGAGTAGATTCAATAGATAGCATAAGGAATCGAAGGATAGATAATAT